TAGGAGAAAGCAACACTATCACTACACTGATGGGATATCCAGTTTAGATAACAACCTTGTCATTGCCGAATGGGCATGTTTGGACATGTCACAGTGTTTGACTTTTCACAGGACTGGAACAAATTACCTGTAATTAGCTAAAAGTACTGATGATCACTATTAACTCTTATTTTCAGCTTGGGTTGGTTTTGCATCCTTTTGACACTTTGCTGGTACAAATACAGTGGTCCAAAGTGAATATACCTCATCCAAATCATCTAATATGAACCAACAAATGTGGTTCATTGATTTTTCCATAAGGAATCTAGGGAGTTGGTTAGCTCGGTTGGCTGGATGGCTGGTTTGCATTGTGGGTTCAATTCCTGCACCCCTGAGGTTACCATGACAGTCCTTGCCCCTTACCTGAAATATGCTGACTCTCGGGTTAAACTCAATGCCAATCATTGCTGTCTGATGACACTATGGTAACTTTTACTGTGAAGGATCTGTACTACATCAAAGGGTCTCGGGCAACATGTGCTTTCAAAATCAAGAGTATATTCTTGATGAAGTTTCAAACAGTAGTGGTTCTAGCTAGAGCCATGTGCAAATGGAATTTTGGCATTTATTACTAAAGGAATAGAGGATTGAAGTAGGGAGCTGTTGCTGCAAGTGTACAAGGAATTAGTGAGACCACATCTAGAATATTGCATGTAATTTTGATTGCCTTACTTGAGGAAGGATGTAGTTGAATTGGAGGCAGTTCACAGCAGATTCATTAGATTGATTCCAGAGATGCGGGGTTTGTTTAATGAAGAGAGATTGAGCAGTTTAGGTCTATACTCTCTGGAGTCTAGGAGAATAAGAGGAGATCTAATTGAGGTATATAAAATGATAAAGGGGATTGACAAATTAGACAGAGAGGATATTTCCTCATGTGGGGCAAACTAGAATAAGAGGTCATAATTTTAGGATAAGAGATAGCAGATTTAAGAAAGAGATAAGGAAAAATTACTTCTCTCAAAGGGCCGTGAATCTGTGGATGCTGGGACATTGAGGAGATTGACAGAGTTTCAATTGGTAATGGGTTGAAGGGTTATAGAGAGTGGGCAGAAAAGATCTCATGCTGAAGTGAGATCAGTCATTATCATATTAGATGGTGCAGCAGGCTCCAAGGACTGAATATCCTACTCCAGTTCCTCATTCTTATGTTCTTATATTCAATGTTTTTATGTATGCATTGCCCATAATAAGCAAACTCCTTTTGTTACAGGTTAGAGAGATCATTTTAAACTTATCCACTTCATGTAACCAAATTCTACATAAAAGGGTACATTTACATTTGTTGTGAAAGGAAATTTGACAGACTAGGGGGAGGCAATGGCTCAGTGGTATTGTCGCTGGACTGTTAATCCAGAGACCCAGGAAATGTTCCAGGGAGCTGGATTTGAATCCGACCATGGCAGTTGGTGGAACTTGAATTCAACACAAATCTGGAATTAAGAGTCCAATGATGACTATGAAACCATTGTTGATTGTTGGGAAAAACCCATCTGGTTCACTAATGTCCTTTAGAGAAGGAAACTGCCATCCTTCTCAGGTCTGGTCTATATTTGACCCACAGCAATGTGGTTGACTCTTAACTGCCCTCTGGGCAATTAGGAATGGGTGTTAAATGCTACCCAGTGACACCCTCATTCCACAAATGATTAAAAACATAAATATTCCGATTCGAGCATCAATTCCATACATCGTCAATTGTCAAATGATGAAAACAGCTTCAGCTACAAAATATCCAGGTCATTGAAAATAGTCAGCTGCTAAATTGGGAAATGGATGAATAGCCAAATAGAACTTCAGTGTCCTGTGTGGGCAATGTGAACAAGAGGTGTGAATACATCATTTTACACCAACAATGCATGAAGATGGGAGTTCCTGATTAGTCTGGACTGAGCCAGTTATATCACTACGCTTCCAGTATTTATTCAATTACAAGCAGTCAGGACAGATAATATTTTATTCCAAAGTGCTTTTTGTTTTTTTCACCACTGTGTGGTGTATGTTCACGCTGTACGGGAGAGATGCCATTGCACAGTCCCATGCAATCGTAGCTTGAGTAAATTCATGTAGTTTTTATAGCCTGGAAGAAACAGTTTTTCATATGTACATAGCATATTTCTTTTTGTGGCCTTTACTTTAGCTTGTGGAAGGGGCTGCTCCTTAAATTTTGGTTGCACTTCAGTCCCACACTCCTAATCTACAGGCACCCTGTGCAGGGAGAGGTGGACAATTGAGGGGCCTTCTTGTGAGTCTGCTCCTGAGCCTGGCCAAGGTGGGCATCAATAGGTCTAGGCAGTGGGCCATGGAACGGCTCATTGTTCCTGACTGTCTGCCCCTCTTTTGCAGTTAAATCTGCACACATGAGCCCCTGGACAGGGAGCATGTAGTGCTCACCAGCACAATAGAAGCCTTTTTAGACCTGTGGGCACTGCAGAGGCAGGGGTGTAATATCAGCCTGGACAAAATTATCTTAATTTAGTAAGTTTCTGTTTCATTACATAAGTTTCTGTTTGACTGTTAATTTGTGTTTTATTTTGGTACAGTGCCCCAGCAGGGCTGCTTCATTATTTTCTTCGACTTCCTGTTTTAATAAAAGAGTAGTGATGCCATGAAGCTGTTGGATAGGTAACAAAAGAAATGTATAGAGCACTTACTGAAGTAACAAATACATCTGTCAAACTGAAAATCAGAACTAAAACTTAGGCACCAAATTTTTTTGCTATTGCACCATTATCCGTCCATAAGTGCTGATGAAAAAATAATCAAATCCTTTACAGCAGGTTATTTAGCTCCAGCTTAATATTCCCCAGAAGTACGAACGGAAGTGTCCACCAGAAGAACTGGACCACATGAAAGTTGAATCGCTAAGAATCATTACGTGCTCAAAAATCTTGCACAAACAAATTAGAATGTGCACTGTTTCCTCTGTGCCCACATCATCCCTTTTAGTGAACCAAACGTTTAGCACCCTTGATTGATGCAAGTGCTAAAAAGTCACATCCTAAATTCTGCCCTGTGTAAACCTAGCAAATTTTAAATAAGCTAATGTCACATTTTTATAGATTTAGATATCTTCACATGCAACAAAGTACTTAGAATAGTAATTCCAGAGTATTTGTATCAATCGATAACTGCAACTCTTAAATTCTGGTTACAAATGTACACATAAATTTATCATAATCAATGTTTGCAGTCAGTAAGATTAACATAATCTGTTCAGCTTCAACACTTCATTGTGATAAAACTGAAGGATCTATAACTAATGTAAGTTTGTTGTATTTCAATATAGCTTCTAATGAAAAATGGAAGATCTGCAGATGCTGTAAATCAGAAACAAAAATAGAATTTGCTGGAAAAGCTCATTAAGTCTGGCAGCATCTGTGGAGAGAAATCAGAGTTAACCTTGTTCAGAGCAGTTCTGAGGAAGGGTTTTAACTCTGATTTCTCTCCACAGATGCTGCTAGACCTGCTGAGCTTTTCCAGTAAATTCTGTTTTGTAGCTTATAATGAAGCTGCATTATACTTGGTGTTTTCTGTTTTAACTTTATTTGAGTAGCACAGAATCAAAGAATTGATACAGAACTAAATGGGGCGAGTGGTCCATTGTGTTTGAGCTGTGCTCGCGCTTCCAATAAGTGGTGCAATAACTCCCTATTGAATGCCTCATTTGACTCTGCAACCCACCATAGTTTCTGGCAGTGCATCCTCGACCCTAACAACACATTGTGTGAAAATGGTTTTCCTCATATCACCCTTGTTTTTTTCACTAATTACATTAAAATGCAAAAAAAATCTTAAAAAGAGTAAAAACTGTAAAAAATTTAAAAACAAGGAAAGTGCGGTACGCAGTGGAGAGCTTTAGGGAAGGAATTCCTGATCTTAGTGCCTAGTCAACAAAGACAGGGTGGTCAGCCAATTAAAAACAGGAATGCTCAAGGGGCAAGAATTAGAAGCACAGATATCTTAGAAGTTTGTAGGGCTAAAGGCTGGTCATTACACAGGGAGGACCAGGACAGTAGAGGGATAAGAAAGTAAGCATGAGAGTTTTAAGAACAAAACACTGACGACACAGGAGACAGTCTAGGCTTGTTAACACAGGACAAATGAGTGAATAGGTGTTGGTATAAGTTAAGACACGGACAACAGAACTTTGAAGCCTTCCGAAGAACAGTCATAATGGATTTGAAATGTTGACTCTCTTTCCTTCTCCTTAGTTCCTGCCAGATCTGCTGAGTTTCTCCAGCACTTTCTGTTTTCATTTCATATTGTCAGCATTTGCAGTATTCAGCTTTTATTTGAGCATTGGATGACCTGAAGTTCATGAAGGGCAAAATTTGGGACGCTGTCCTGGAATTTTCACACAGAGGATGGTGTGTATATGAAATGAGCCGCCAGAGGAAGTGGTAGGCAAGTACAATTACATCATTTAAAGACAATTGGACAGGTACATGGATAGGAAAAATTTAGAGGGAAATGGGCCAAATGCAGGCAAATGGGACTAGTTCATTTTAGAAAACCTGGTTGGCAAGGACAGGTTGGGCCAAAGGGCCTCTTTCCATGCTATATGGCTATGACTCTAATGCATTGGAATAATCAAGGCGAGGGGGAACAAATGCTAGGATGAGGGTTTCTGCAGCAGATGAGCTGTAATAGAGGGTGGAGTCGGACAACTTTACAGATCAAATGATGGTGTACAGATATGGTTGGAGGATCATTACGTACTGAAATACTATTTCAAGGTGTCAAACTCTGGCTCAGTCTCAGGCAGTTTGCCAGGGAAGAGAAAGGAGTCAGTGATTAGTATGGTTGGAGTTTGTAATGGAGGTGGAAGATGAAGGTTTCAGTTTTCCCAGACCTTCAATGAGATCTCCACTATCAACATCCAGGAAACACTGGTGACTAGGAGCTTAGCTAGATTAACTATAACAACACTGACTGACGATTGATTCAGTGAGCCTTACCTATTTCTTCTTGTCCAGTCCACTGAATAAAACTGTTTCCTCAGCCAACTGCAAATTATACAACACATGAGAATGAAACAAGGTCAGAGATACACTGTTACATTTTCCCCAACGGACTTCTGGTAGCAAATCATAAGATAACAGCTCAATCCAACTATGTCAGACAGTACAGTGCTTTCAATGCATTAATGCCCAGAAAATATCAGAACTTACTGCAATTAAAGGTAATGTGGATGCCAACAGCAAATGATTTCACACACCATTTCCTGGCATTCGGAACCATTTTAAGAAAAGCTCTTTGAAGTGGTCATAATAAAGTGAGGACACAAACCTCCAGTGCTTGAAGTATTTACTAAAACATCATTCACTGTGTTCATTGTTTGTAGTTAGAATGGCATGTAATTGCAGAATGTGTAAAGCAGTTTAAATACATAGCAGACAATGAGATCCTGTACCTTTCTATTCTTAATGGGGTTGGTGCAGTTTGACTCTCTTTATACAGCATTTCCAGTCCCTTTAACCATTTGGAAGCTTCTTCTTTTGAATTAGCTACAAGAACAGAAAAGAAAGTTGTAAAATGTTAGCTGCTGGTCTCAGATCATTTACAGATACAGGATAGCAATTATTTTAAAGTCTATAGATGACAACTTGGGCTTATTAGCTCAACGTTTGGGACTCCAAATACCCCTTCGGCTCCAAAGTGGCATCAGTGTCATGTCTGTGGGGCCATGTTGGTGCAGGCTTCAATGTATACACGGTGAATGTTCAATGAATTATGAGGTCTTGTCATCAACATGCAACACATTGCTGATTTGATGCCAATGGTGGCATTTTGGAGATCATTGCTCTAGTCAACACTCTCTCTTCAGCGTGCACACCGGAACTTTATTCTTTATTATTCATTCATGGCATGTGGGAATAACCAGCTGGACCAGCATTCATTGCCTATCCTTTCATTGCTCAGAGGGTAGTTAAGAGTCAACCATTGTGCTGGAGGTCTGGAGTCACATTTAGGCCAGACCAGGTAAGGATGGCAGATTTCCTTCTCTAAAGGACATTAGTGAATCAGATGGGTTTTTCCTGACAATCGGCATTGGCTTCATGGTCATCATTAGACTCTTATTTCCAGATTATTATTGGATTCAAATTCCACAAATACCACACTAGGATTTGAGCCCTGGCCCCAGAACATTACCTGGGTTTCTGGATTAATAATAGTCTAGCGATAATACCCCTACACCTCCCGCAACTTGCATTTACTAGCATGGAGGATCATTACCAGTGAGTGCTACTTTAGGAGGTAAAAAACTATGCACAATTGATTTCTAATTGATTTCTTTTTTGCTGTTGCACAGTCTACAATTATGTGTTGCTTTTGACAGTAGTTTCAAGTTGCAAAAGCCTGTGGCCAGTGGTGTGGCAGATGCTGTTGGACTATATGATGATTTTGTGGCTTCTGCATAAACCGATTATGCCTTGACTTAGATGCACTTGTATGCATTCTCCATGGAGAGTGAACAAAAAGCACACAGTTTCTCTAAAGGGGTTTGGGCAGAAGCAGAATGGACTGGAGCAGGAGGCATTATCTGCCCAGAATGTTCATAATCAGTTCGCTTACCATTGACGAGCAACATGTCAGACTTTGGTGCTTCAGGAAAGACATCTTTGGTGAAATCTGCCATTTGTTGCAGCTACAATCTCAGGACAGACTGAGTACAGCCTTAACAGTGGCTTTCAAGATGACAATGGCCTTGAATAAACTCAGCAGGAGCTGGAGTCTCACATCTCACATCTTATATCTTATATTGAGTAAGAGAACTCACTGAGGCTCTCTATTCAAAGAGAACTGAATACATTCCATTATTTACATCCAGGGAAGAGTAGACGGAAAGAGCATGCAGCTTTCCTATGATGCAGGGCAAAAGTGACTTTATACACCACATCAATTCCACCTTGTAATGGAACTGAAATGATTTCACTATCTCAGTGTTCAGCTGGTGTATGACCATAAACAGTGAATTAGACAGGTCAATGCCCAATATATTGGTAGCAATACTGATGCCTTCATTCTGTGTTGTGCCAGCGACATTTGAGCTATCACAAATGAACCAAAGCTGGCCAGTGAATGGCCAGTGCAATCGGCTGTTGGTATGGTTGAAGACCCTGCAGTCGCAACCTGAGTACATGTCCACAGCACGTATATATTCAAAGCCACACTGTAAATGTGATAGACAGGTCACTGTCATGCTGACACAACAGTTTGTGTTGCCTAGACCTGGCTGGCTGAACCCTGCAGCTCTTGGCAGGGTGACGTCACAGTTTGCAATGAGCTTTGGCATTGTGCAGACCCTCAGCATCAGGAGAGGGCAGTCATTGCCATTACTGATGCGGTGAACAGCTGAGAAGCAAGGTGAGGAGGAGGGTGAAAGGAGAAGGCACCTCCTAGGGATATGTCTGAGGAACTCACCCGAATGCAACAGCAATCATGACAACTTTAGTTCTCCATTCACCAACAATTCCATGTAATATCCCCTCACAACTGCAGGAAACCCAATCTCACCACAATGCAGAAGATGACATGCAGGTCACATACAAGCTGACCTCTTTAAGTTACCGTGCAAGTGTATGTGTGCCTTTAAATTTCAAGTGGTTGCTTCACTCACAGTGGACCTCCCATTTGCGAGGTGCCAATAGCTTTAAGCAGTACAGATTTACTTTAAATGTTGCTACCGACTTACAACATCGCTCCTGCTGACGCCAATGAGCAGGCAACATGGTTAGTATTGGCTGGACACAAAGATCATGTGGTTGACAATTAACCATCCCTCTGGGCAATTAGGGATAGGGGCAATAAATGCTGACTAAGCCAGTGACACCCTCATCCCAGAATGAAAACAAAAATCAAGCAGTCAGCATGAAATAAGTATATTACAATCAATGGGTGTAGGTCAGTCCATGCCCATTTTATGGGCTATCCAGTTTATCATAGAATCTGTACAGTGTGGAAGCAGGCCATTCAGCCCATTGAGTCCACATCAACCCTCTGAAGGGCATCCCAACCAGACCCAGGCTCCAGCCTATCCCTCCATTTTCCATGGCTAATCCACCTACCCTGCATATCCCTGAATACTAGGACAATTTAGCATGGCCACCTAACTGCACATATCTGGACTGTGGGAGGAAACCAGAGCATCCGGAGAAAGTCCATACAGACCCGGGGAGAATGTGCAAACTCCACACAGTCAGTTGCCTGAGGGTGGAATCAAACCTGGATCCCTGATGCTGTGAGGCAGCAGTGCTAATCACTGAGCCATCGTGTTGACCCAGCAACGCACAGTCGTATTGTTTATTATAGTATCTTTAGAAAAGGTAAAATACCTGTTCAGAAGAATACAAGGTTTAGAGCAGTTTGTTTTATATATCTTTTCAATAACAACTGACAATACTAAAACATATAATCTGGATATTTCCTTCATCTCAAGTTTGTGGCCCTTTGCTTTGCACCAATTCGATGCAGCCTTTTCCGATACCACCATAGCTCAAACTACTTCATTAGTACTGGAACATTTTGGAACATTCTAAGGTTCTGAAAGACAACATATGGATGCAAGTTCTTTCTATCCATGCGAGGGGCATTAAGAACAATTTGTCTCATTTCTGAGGTAGTACGGTTATGGTTGAGAAACCCATTGTGGCTTTTCTGGGGAGGTAAAGGGCTGGATTTTCCCAAAGTTTTTTTTCACAGAATCAAGTTAAGACCCCAAAAAAATACAATTGATGTGACATGTTACTGCCCGAGACAGCTTAACGGTAACAAAAACACTACCATGAACAAAAACAAAATTGCTGCAGAGGCTCAGCAGGTCTGGCAGCATCTGTAAAGGTAAAAACAGAGTTAACACTTCGGGTCTGTTGACCCTTCCTCAGAACACACACGTAAAAAGGGTAGGGCCGATCAAGGATTGTAAAGGGAATTTGTGCACGGAGCCTAAACAGATAGGAGAGGTCCTTAATGAATACTTTTCTTCGGTATCCACAACTGAGAGGGACTTAGTTATAGAGGAAGACAGTGTGAAACAGGCTGGTAGGCTACAGGAGGTCGATGTTAGTAAGGAAGATGTGCGAGGAATTTTGAGGAAGTTGAAGATAGATAAGTCCCCCGGGCCTGATGGGATTTATACAAGGAGTCTATGAGAAGCGAGGGAAGAGATCGCAGGCGATGATCTTTTCATCCTCACTGTCCACGGGTATAGTGCCGGAAGATTGGAGAGAGGCAAACGTCATTCCCTTGTTCAAAAAGGGAATAGGGATAACCCCGGAAATTACAGGCCAGTTAGTCTTACATCAGTGGTGGGCAAATTATTGGTAAGGGCTCTGAGAGACAGGATTTATGATCACTTGGAAAGGCACAGATTGATTCGTGATAATCAGCATGGATTTGTGAGGGGTAGATCATGCCTCACAAACCTTACTGAATTCTTTGAAGAGGTGACCAAACACGTGGATGAAGGTAGAGCAGTGGATGTGGTATACATGGATTTAAGTAAGGCGTTTGATAAGGTTCCCTATGTAGGCTCATGCAGAAGGTAAGGAGGCATGGGATAGGGTGAAAATGTGGCAGATTGGATTCAGAATTGGCTGACCCTTAGAAGACAAAGGGTGGTAGTGGACGGAAAATATTCAACATGGTGCTCAGTTACGAGTGGTGTACCACAAGGATCTGTCCTGGGTCCTCTTCTATTTGTGATTTTTGTAAATGATTTGGATGAAGGAGTGGAAGGGTGGATTAGTAAGTTCGCGACAAAGGTGGGTCATGTTGTGGATAGTGCGGAGGGCTGTTCTAGGTTACAAAGGGACATTGATAGGATGCAGAGTTGGGCTGAGAAGTGACAGATGGAGTTTAACCCTTAAAAGTGTGAGGTGATTCATTTTGGAAGGACAAACTTGAAAGCAGAATACAGGGTTAACGGAAAGATTCTTGGCAGTGTGGAGGAACAGAGGGATCTTGGGGTGCATGTTCACAGTTCCCTGAAAGCTGCCACCCAGGTGGATAGAGTTGTTAAGAAGGCGTATGGTGTGTTAGCTTTCATTAATAGAGGGATTGAGTTCATGAAGTTATGCTCCAACTATATAAAAGCCTGGTTCGGCCACATCTGGAGTATTGTGTCCAGTTCTGGTCACCTCATTACAGGAAAGACGTGGAAGCGTTGGAAAAGGTGCAGAGGAGATTTACCAGGATGTTGCCTGGAATGGAGGGAAGGTCTTACGAGGAAAGGTTAAGAGAGCTAGAGCTTTTCTATTTAGAACGATGAAGGATGAGAGGTGACTTGATAGAGGTGTATGAAATGGTTAGAGGTATAGATAGAGTAGACAGCCAGAGACTTTTTCCTAGGGTGGAGATAGCTATTACAAGGGGTCATAGTTTTAAAGTGAGTAGAGGTAAATATAGCGGAGACATCAGAGGTAGGTTCTTTACTCAGAGAGTGGTCGGGGCGTGGAATGCATTGCCGGAGAGGGTAGTGGAGTCGGCCTCGTTAGGGGCATTTAAGCGGCTATTAGGTAGGCATATGGATGATAGTATAAGGTAGGGGTGGAGGTTCGTGGGCCGAAGGGCCTGTATTGTGCTGTACTGTTCTATGTTCTATGTTCTAAAATAATGGATATCAAATACACTCACAACAACAGCTGCTTGATTCTACAAGTGTTAATGGTTGGTTGAAGATTTATGCATAGAAGAAGGCTCATACTCTGTTACCTTACAGGAGCTGAAAGAGTTCTTTTCCACTATGCCATCCATTCCAGCTTCAAACTCCTATCTATATCATAGGACCAGGAGCAGACCATCAGCCTTTTGAGTCAGTGCTGTTATTCATAATTGATCATAATTGATCTACATCTTAATTCCTTGATTTCATATCACCCAAAGAAACTTCAATCTCAGTTTTGAAGTTTTCAATTAACCAAATCTTAACCAAACCTATTGCAGAAAATACGGAGGCATGGGATTGAGGGTGATTTAGCAGTTTGGATCAGAAATTGGCTAGCTGTAAGAAGACAGAGGGTGGAGGTTGATGGGAAATGTTCATCCTAGAGTTTAGTTACTAGTGGTGTACCTCAAGGATCTGTTTTGGGGCCACTGCTGTTTGTCATTTTTATAAATGACCTGGATGAGGGCGTAGAAGGATGGGTTAGCAAATTTGCGGATGACACCAAAGTTGGTGGAGTTGTGGATAGTGCGGAAGGATGTTGCAGGTTACAGAGGGACATAGATAAGCTGCAGAGCTGGGCTGAGAGGTGGCAAATGGAGTTTAATGCGGAAAAGTGTGAGGTGATTCACTTTGGAAGGAGTAACAGGAATACAGAGTACTGGGCTAATGGTAAGATTCTTGGTAGTGTGGATGAGCAGAAAGATCTCGGTGTCCATGTGCATAGATCACTGAAAGTTGCCACCCAGGTTGATAGCGTTGTTAAGAAGGCGTACAGTATGTTAGGTTTTATTGGTAGAGGGATTGAGTTTCGGAGCCATGAGGTCATGTTGCAGCTGTACAAAACTCCGGTGCGGCCGCACTTGGAGTATTGCGTACAGTTCTGGTCACTGCATTATAGGAAGGATGTGGAAGCATTGGAAAGGGTGCAGAGGAGATTTACCAGGATGTTGCCTGGAATGGAGGGAAGATCTTATGAGGAAAGGCTGAGGGTCTTGAGGCTGTTTTCATTAGAGAGAAGAAGGTTAAGAGGTGACTTGATAGAGACATACAAGATGATCAGAGGATTAGATAGGGTGGACAGTGGGAGCCTTTTTCCTCGGATGGTGATGGCTAGCACGAGGGGACATAGCTTTAAATTGAGGGGTGATAGATATAGGACAGATGTCAGAGGTAGGTTCTTTACTCAGAGAGTAGTAAGGGCGTGGAATGCCCTGCCTGCAAAAATAGTAGACTCGTCCACTTTAAGGGCATTTAAATGGTCATTGGATAAACATATGGATGATAATGGAATAGTTTAGGTTAGATGAGCTTCAGATTGGTTTCACAGGTCGGCGCAACATCGAGGGCCGAAGGGCCTGTACTGCGCTGTAAGGTTCTATGTTCTATGTTCTAATAGTTTTGTAGGTGAATAGATTTCCAGATTTCTTCCATAAATACTTCTTGACATCACCCTTGAATGTCCTGGCTATAATTTTTAGGTTATGTCCCCTTCTTTTGAACTTCTTCACCATAAGAAATAGTCAACATTTATCCTATCAAATCCTTTAATGATCTCAAAAGCCACAATTTGATCTTGCCTTAATCTTCTGCTCAAGGGAATATATGCCTATGCTATAGAATCTCTCTCCATAATTTAACCATTCATCCCCAGTGTTGTCCTGATTAATCTCTTCCATATTCTCTCCAAAGCCAAAATGTTCTTCCCCAATTGTTTGAGCATAGCACTGCAGGAGACATAATTTCACCAGTGAAACTAAAAGGGTTTTGGAACATCACATTAGATCTTCTAAAGGTTGCTACCATTTTGGATAATACCTCCTTTCCAACTTCATTGGCAAGGGCTTACTTCCTACCTTTCCACCTCGCCTACAGAATGCTCTGAAGAAAATTCAACTTTATATTTCAAAATGAGAGGCTTCTGGTAAGTGCGCTAAGTCAGAATAGAGGCAGGATGGCAAGGCTGGTGAATCATTGTAGCAGCAATGGAACCTACCTGCCAAACTGAGATTGTTGAGCACAAAGTCGGTACCGTAGAACACTGTGAAACATACATCATCGCTGTATTTGTCCTTCTGCTCTTTTGAAATCTGCTCAAAGTCCTTTGAGTTCTTCCCAAGGCGGATTTCCTTAATCTCTTGCAGATCAACTAAAAGCAAACAAAATTTTATGAGGCACTGCAATAATGACTTCTAGGCGATAACATTTCACAGCTATGAGGAAGGTGGCAAAAAGCAGCAGTAATGATAAACTTTTGCCACTCACTCATGGATCATTGATGTTGATTTTGACTATAGATAGCCTTCTGCAGAAAAAAGATGGTGATATCGTTCAAAGACAATCAGTCTGCTTATGAGCTTTTCATATAGATGCAAATTAAATAGAACTGGATTTCCGTGGGTACTGCCCTAATTTTAAAATAGATGGCTAGTTTTATCAAAAATTACTGAAGTGCTGTTTTTGTACTTGGACCTGGTCCTCAAGTGTAATTTCAAAAAAAATTCTATTTAGAATTTTCTCCAATCAGAATCTGCTTCCTGTTTTCTGTTCCTCTATATGACATTTCCCCCAACAAGAAGTAGCATTCTCCCTGGTCTCTGTGTTTGTAGTTATATAATTGACCGTGAAATGATACCTGTTTGGAACTGACCACACTTCCGAGAATAATCTGAGCCAGGCACAGAAGTGGGAAGATGTTGAGATTGATGAGGACATAAATTCCACTATTTTATGCCCACAAACAGGAGTTTTGGCTCAGTCTCAGAAGAGCTTTCAGCTCTGAGTCACAAGCTACATGTGATAAAATGATGTCGAAAACATCATATTGTCATCAAGTGTTAGTTTCGCAGGCTCACAATGGTGTCGTGCAATTAAAGCTTCTATTGTACTTTTGGAAGTTATTTAAAAAATTGATCTGTCATAATATTTAAGGAGGAAGTGGACAGATATTTTTTTAAAAAAACAAAATCAGGTAATTGATAGTTTTGAGGATGAAAGAGAAATTGAGACCTGGGGTGGATCAGCCACGAGCTCTGTGAATGGCAGGCCAATTGGCCTACTCTTGCTCCTATTTCTTATAGTTTTACATACAGAGTTGAAAGTATAATAGTATACAAATAGGTCACACCTGTTTTATTGTTAGCAACCCACAGAGGAAAGAAATGCTTTGGTCAAAGGAAATACTTCAGTCTGTCAGGGAAATAATAGGTCTTTCCTGAGCTTTAGTATTCCACTGATATTCAAAGTAGAACTAGAACTGTACAAACAACATGTCAGAACAATGCAAATCATAGCCAAATCCAAACCAACAGAAACACCGAACAACCCATGCAACATAATGAGAACCATGACACTCATAATAATTCTGTTATGCCTTACCTTGCCTCACCAGCCCCAAGATCCAACCTCATAGGTTGAAGATCTGGTTTTAAGCTCTGACCACTCTGTCTCCTCATTTAAGACTTTCATCAAAACTCAACTCTTTGAGCAAATATGTGGGGACCCTATTTTCTCTCTGATTGTTTTATGCCTCTGTGATGTGCCTTAGGCATTTTTCTGCATTAAGTGTAGAATAATAAATAAATGCAAATTGCTTCAACTGGCAAGCAAAATGAATATTAACTAATCTGGCCATGAATGCAACACAGCAAATTATTAACAACTAAGGGGAACATGTTTGGAAACTACCTGGCTACCACTTGAAAAAGGAACAAAAATTAGGAGTAGAACATTTGGTCCTTTAAGCTGCTCCATCATTCAATAAGATCATGGCTCATTATCTACCTCAAAACTTCCTTCCTGTGTAATCCCCACATCCCTTAGTTTCCTTACCATGCAAAAATCTATTGATCTCTATTCTGTAAAATTTAACTACCGAGCACCCACACCTCTGTGGTGCACAACGTTTCAAAGATTCGTAGACATTTGTGTAAAGAAATTTATTCTCATCATAGTCCTGACTGTCTCAGCCCTTACTGTGAGACTGTAACCCCGAGTTCTAGCTTTGGCAGCCAGGGGAAACATCCTCCTAGCATTGACCCTGCCAATCCTCCCAGGAGTCTCAGATGGCACAGCAATGATGAAGTCCTGGGACAGTAGGCAAGGTGGATGAAATTTCAGGGGAGGGGGATATTACAGGGTGGAGCCCACAGAGAAAAAGTGTTCAGAGCTAAAGACAAGGGAAGCGGCTTTCAGCAGCCAGTCCCCTGTCCCCATCTAAGTCCTCTGTTTGTCCCAGATTGAGCAACCCGACCCTGCCTCAACATTTTAGGCCACTCGTTTTACCCATTGGGAAGGCTGCTGTTGCTCTCACCTGCCAGGAGTGGAGTTGATCATGACGGTTTTGCAAATTGCCCCTTAAGAAGTCACCAATTAATTATGTAAGGCCCTCATACAGTGGCAAGCCAGATAGGTGATTAGTGGACTCTTTGATCCAGAACTTGATTACTATGGTGGTGGGAAGGTGGTTTGTATCTCACCATGCCAACTCCTTTGATTATGACAACTATGACAATACTTCCTGACACCTTCCCCATTGCTTCTTGGAAGAGGAAGATTCCACCATTCAAGTGAATTTTCAGTGAATGATATACAAGGTCACCCTAGCCCCTTTGGATATCAGTTTTGCATGATCTCTTGCTTTTTTCCTACCAAAGTGGATAACTTCACCAATTGCATCCCTCTTCAATTTTCCTGCTCACTCATTCAACCTGCTGATAACATATTGCAACCTCTTTGTATCTTCCCCAAAGCTTAGCTTCTCTCCTAACTTTGTGCTGCTATCAAATCAGAATTATTTTCTTCACTGATGGGATGTGGGCGTCACTGACTGGGCTAGTGGTTATTGCCCGTCCCTAGTTGCTTCTGAGAAGGTGTTGATGAGCAGCCTTCTTGAACCACCATACTCCATGTGCTGTGGGTAGACCCATAATGCCCTTAGGGAGGGAATTCCAGGATTTTGACCCAATGACAGAAAAGAAACAGTGATGTATTTCTAAGTCAGGATAGTGAATGGCTTTGAAGGGAACTTGAAGGAATGGTGTTCCCTATATCTGCCGCCCTTGACCTTCCAGTTGGAAATGGTCGTGGGTTTGGAAGATGCTGTCTAAGGATCTTTGGTGAATTTCTGCAGTGCATCTTGTAGATAGTACACACTGCTGCTACTGAGGGTTGGTGGTGGAGGGAGTGGATACTTGTGGATGTAGTGCTTGTGGATCAAACAGGCTGCTTTGCTCTGGATGGTGTCAAGCTTGAGCATTGTTGGAGCTGCATCCATCCAGGCAAGTGAGGAGTATTCCTGCACACTCCTCACTCGTGCCTTGCGGATGGTCAATAGGCTTTGGGGGAGTCAGGATGTGAGTGACTTGCTGTAGTATTCATAGCCTCTGACCTGCTCTTGCAGCCACTGTGTTTACATGACAAGACCAGATGACTTTCTGGTCAATGGTAACCCCCAGGATGTTGATGGTGGGGGTTCAGTGATGGTAATGTCATTGAGTATTAAGAGGCGGAGTTTAGATTATCTTTTATTGGAGATGGTTATTACCTGGCATTTTTGTGGCATGAACGTTACTTGTCACTTGTCAGCCCAAGCCTGGATATTGTCCAGGTCTTGTTGCTTTGAACACAGACTACTTCCGAATCTGAGGAGTTGTGAATAGTGCTGAACAATGTCCAATAATCAGTGAACATCCCCACTCTGACCTCATGATGGAGGGAAAGTCGTTGATCAAGCAGCTGAAAATGGTTGGGCCGACGACACTAACCTGATGAACTCCCATGGAGACATCCTGGAGCTGAGGTAACTAACCTCTAACAATCACAACCCTCTTCCTATGGCTCCAACCAGTGGACACATTCCCCCCATACTCATTGATTCCAGTTGTGCTCGGCCTCCTTTTTGACATATTCAGTCAAATGTGACCTTGATGTCAAGTGCTGTGACTCTCACCTCATCTCCAGAATTCAGCTATTTTGCCCATTCTTTCTTTTTATTCATTCCTTCAGCTAGGTTATTGACGCAGATTTTATATAGTTGAACACAATCTAATGATCCAGACAGTATCATGTTACATTTAACTTAACTTAATATTACCTGTTTATTCCTATTTTCTATTTTCTGTCTATTGATCAATCTTTAATCTATGCAAATGTAATACTTCCATCCCATGAGCCCTAATTTTGTGAAATAACCTGTTGTGCAGCACTTTTAAACAAACGCTTCTTGAAATCAAAATACATCACACTCAGTAATTCCCCGTCAACTACATGGCTAGTTAAACCTCAAAAAGCTCTAACAAATTTGTAGGACATGATTTCTCTTTCTTAAATCAGTATTAACGCTATCTAATCATACCATGTCTTTCTAAGTGATCTGTTATCGTATCTCTAATAACAGATTTGAGCAACTTTCCTTCTATTGATGTCAGACTACACTATTTCCTGTTTTTTCTTTCTCTCCTTGCTTGATCAATATGGTTGCCTTCCAAACCATGGGCTCTGTTTCAGAACCAAAGGAATTCTTAAAGATGAAAACCATCTCTCCGTACCTGCGCCTCTAAATAACCAAGGATGTGGCTATCAGTTGTAGCGAAGTATGAATCTTTTAGTCCCAAATTTAAGAAATAAAGGCAATGCACTAGAAGAGATGTTATAATTGATGTTTTCCAACTTTTTGTGTGTATTTTACTGCAGCTTCTAGGTAAGGTTCCATGGGCAGTATCCTTTCCTCTGTTAGCTCAGTCAAACAATCATTCCTCAACTACACGCGTGGATAATGAAGATTTGTGAGATAGGGTTCAAGTGAAGGAGCCACTGATTTCAAATCTGGCTTGAACTATTGCTCCATGATTTGAAGGTATTAAAGACAGACCTGTCTCACTCAAACAGCTAACTCTGCTGCCTACCAATAGGCAGTACTTTGAAAGATCATGGGCATTTTTAGCCTTTAATACCAAAATGTGTTTTTTTTTAAATTGGATGGCTGCAACAAGGAAGTAACAACAAGATGAAATGCCCTGGTTGGCTGGCAAAAAAATTGTGTTGGCCCAATGGGATGTGACACCTAAAGATGTCAAAAGAAACTTCAAAGAGACTGGACTGTGGATTTCCTGGACTACAAAGATAATGAAGGGGTGACCATCTCCTGCT